AAATGGGAAGTAAGTGAAACAGAGCCACAAATTTAGTTGCATTATTAAATCAATGTACTGTTGACAAAATGAACACTCAATGTTATAATGAAGCATTCATATTTACTTTTTAATATACTGGTGAAATTGTAGTGCATTCATGTTTCTAAATATTTTGTTGCTCTTTAAAACTACTAAATGATCCTAAAGGATGGCTCATATGTATCAAATTTATCAAAGCCTTCCAGCATTTAAAAAATATTGTTTGTTCTTTTATTTAACTTTACGTTTAAAAGGTACACATTTCCTAAGGTGAGAGTTTCTAGGCATTATTTCATTTTAACACAATGACTCAACTCTTTTCAAACATACAAATTCTTTTGAAAAAAAAAAAAAGAAATACATAATGTGGAAATTTAGCCATTTCATATCTTAATTCACTAAAATATGCTGGTTCTTTGGTTCTTTTTCTTTTCCTTTCTTTGTCACCTATTGAGACAAGCATAGCTGGAGAAGAATAAAAATACATCATCTAGTTGTACCAATTCATAATCAATAAAAAGCTAAACACTTGAGTAGAAAATATGTTACAGATTTGTGCCCTACCAAAGCAGCTATTTTTACCTTGCCATCATCATTAGAAGCCGCATTCTGACAAAAATCATTTGCTTGAAGCAGCCGTGATATATAAACCCTATGTGGTCTTGTGATTCAGATTTAGGAATATCAGCCTTGGAGGGTCTACAGGCATTGTGCATTAGTATGTATTGAGACCTCATTCCAGGTGGCAAGCAGCTGGACTTTTTAAAAATAAAACTTCCAAAATAAAGGTGAAGTGCTTATTTCCAGGCGATGCATGTTACATTTAATTTAATCATCCTCAAAATGTTATAAATTAGGCAAAAAGGAGAGTTGTGCATATTTAATATATTTGTTTTGTATTTCCACTAGTCAACAGAATAATGAAATTCCTTAACTACTTCTCTTTAACTTGCATGAAGAAAGCACGGTATGTTGCTAAATCTCTTTTCACCAGCTCTGCGGAGAAACAACTTTAATCCTTGTTAGAAAATTGCCGAGTCTGGGACTGACAAAGAGCTCATGCTTGTTCTATTGTTAGTGCTCCCCGGCCCCAAGAGCAGAGCCCTTTACAGCTGCGTGGATCCCGCCCGGCTCAGCTGCACTATTTAGGAGAGGAGGTTTGTCAATTTCTATTGACAATGGAAAGAGTTTTTCAGGGCCTGTAGCAGTGCTGACACAGTTGGGGATCAATGCCAGCCATTCAGACTGCACCCTCTTTCATTGCTTTGGTTTGTTAATTCAAGACTAAAGGTCCACTGAGGGGGTTCAGGGTGTTTAAGAAAGCTGATGAACTGTTTAAGAAAGCTGATGAACTGCAAGCGTTTATAGCCCTAGTGTGGCAATTTCCATAGTCAGTGGCAACTCCTGGCACTGAGGGAGCTGTGTCCTTGTTGACCCTCTTGTTATTAAAAATGCACAAGTGCTGCGCTTCTCAATATTTCAACACTCTTTCATTGTCAATACCACCTTCTGAGCCCTTCAGCTTGTTGCTTGCTCTAAAGATCTTCTTAGATTGGGTTTGAAAACTTCACCTTAAACACTAGATTAGACTGATGTTCTGTTTTCCGTGCTCCTGTTGATTTGTTGAACCTTCCCAGGGCTGGAAAGCAAGTAGCAGCTTGATGGGGAGACGGGCTGCTAATATGATTTACCAGTCTACAGTCATGCACAATAAGTGTGAATAAATACAGGGGTCTCACAGAGTCAACCCTAGCCTTTCCTTTTCTTCTATTTTTGCTTTAAAAGATATCTCAAGAAAATGAAGTGAATAACACATGCCCTTACAGGAGTTGAATGAACCACAAAAAGAAGAAAGAAAAAACCATATTTTTGCTAAAGCAGTAGGCTGCTGTCATGGATTGATGTAGAAAAAAATTGTAAAATATACACTTACTGCTTTATTCCTGTGTAGACCGAGGCAAAGAATAAAGCAGTAATGCCATACCCATACCTTCCGTGCTACCCTTCCTTTGCATCCCCTGAAGGGAAAAGTGAATGGTCAACCAAGTTGTTTTATAAAATTAACTTTTCCAAAGTGAAAAAGACACTTTCTAACATGCAGACTTTACTGCACATTCACGCTTTTCCAATTTTTCATTTGGTTTGGTTTGGTTTGGTTTGGTGGAGGGGGTTGAGGAATGAAGAGAACCTACCTTTGACCTTTTTCTCAGTGTGAGAAAATGGGATCTACCATATTCAGTACTCAAAATAACGACATATTAATTCCAGCACCAGAAATAAGAAAGTGCTAGAGGTTTCTCTTTGGTGGCTTTGTTTGTTTGTTTGTTTGTTTGAGGGGTGTGTGTGTGTGTGTGTGTTTTACTGTATAAAAGAAAGGTGGGATTTTTGTTGTTGTTAGCCTGTTCTTAGTGGCAGCAGATATTCTGAGCTAAGTTACTGCTTTTCCTTAGTCATTTGCTTTGTTTAGCTAAAATGCCTCTTGAAGATGCTTTGACTTAGGAATAAAAAATAAACATTCTTATTTGATAGAATATTTTTTCCTAGAGGCTTTTGCTTATAGAATGATTTATTGACCTTCAAAGTAAGATGATGATAAAGTAGCTTAAACCTTTTACTTAATAATAGTTCTCTTTTTCTGTTTTTACAGTAAACTTTAGATCATTTCACTCCCAAATTCTTTTTCACTAAAATTATCATTTTGGCATTGTATTAAATAAGTTATATATAAATGGTTTATGTCTTTTCAATTATCAGTTCATAAGTCTCATTATATGTAATGAGAAAGGGGAAATTAATTTTAAATTATATAAGGATTTTTAAAAACATACAGATGCATATAGAGTAATTATAAGAAAGTTTTCTCATTTCCCTCAAATTTGTACAACTTACCTTGAACACGGTAACTGCACAGTCTAACAGAGTGAGTAGTATGTTATGCTATATACTTCGTAAAATACATATGCTTTCTTCTATTTTTGCTTTAAAAGAGATATCTCAGGAAAATGATTTGAGTAATGCATTCCCTTACAGGAGTTGAATGAACCACAAAAAGAAGAAAGAAAAACCATTTTTTTGCTAAAGCAGTAGCTTTAAAGCAGTTGAAAAAAAGGAAAAAAATTCAACAAAAAAAGAAATATTTACTAGCCATTGCAAAATGACTATAATGTTTAAGAACCACTTCCATTATGACAATATTTTCACTTTCAAATTATCTAGAGTGTGGTGTGGGGGAAGGGCCTAAATTGAAGGTACTCATTCAATATCACCAATCCTTGTGAGTGTTTACCTGTATTAAAATAGAAATAAAGAAGCTGAAGCTATAAATAATTTGAAACAAGTATAGAATTTTATTTCAATAAAAGATTTTGAGATTTAACGTACCAGCAAAAGTATTGAATTTACTAGAAGTTTACTTTTTTGAGAATTTTGGAGAATGGGTGTCTTGTTTTATAAAACTTATTGCTGAAATTTTTAGATGTCCTGAATATTAAGAAGGTAATCATTAGGAAGGACCAATATTAGGTACAGGAATAATATATTTTTTAAGAAATCATAGTTCATCTCACATTTTAAAAACTTCAAGCTTTTATTTGTCCATTTGATTGTTATTATTTAGTAAATCGTTATCCATTTAAATTAACTTATGGTGTGCATTATATGTTCATTATACTAACAATAGAAAAAAGCATGGTAAAATATAAAATTTATTTCTTATTTTTACTTAAAGTACCATTTCTTATTAAACTAAATTGTATTGGAACAATATTGTTAAATATAAATCCAGATGAATTTCAGACTTGGATCCCTGAAAATTTATTTTAAAAATTGAATTTACTGTTTTATTATATTGAGAAAATATTCTTCTAAATTTGTTTTTCCATGTTTAAATTCTTAAGAACCTATACACACACATATGTGATCTGGACTGTCACTATGTTTGTGTATGCATGCAAGGCACAAAAATCTCCTGTTTTTCAAAAATTCTTTTGTCATTTCCTAAATGCTGAGTGGACATTGATATTTCTCACTGTTATCTGAATGAGTAGCATTATTCTTAGAGTGTTATCTACCTAGCTCTGAATCACTGTATCCCTTAAAAATGTCATCTGTAATGGCAGATTTTTTTTTTTGAAAATAGGAACAATTTTTTTTACTAGACTGACAGACATAGGAGCAGAAAATTGCATTAAAGAAGAATTTCAATTTTTCTCTCAAGAGGTTTGTAATAAACAGAAAATTTATGGACCCTCCAAAAACACAAAATGAAACACATCCTCTTCATTCATAATTTGGTCAACTGATAGCTATTTTGTGATTCTTACAAGAATCCAATCTTGATAATGTTCCCTCCTAAGATATCAATAAATCCTTATTTTGGGTGGTTTTAAAAGAGCTTGGTAAATGCTTAACTGATAAAGGTGTAATTGAGGATTACTGTTTAGAAAGTTGTTGATTTCTTTCTTTTTTTTTTTTTTTTGCCATTGCTCCTTTAAAATGTAGTTTTTAGATATTGACTGCATGACTTATAGCATAACACATCTTTGTTTTGATTGTTACTTAACATGTAGGCTAATAGAAAATTTACCTTTGAAAATAATTTACCTCTTTTTTCTTGCTGCTTGGCTGCCCATTCAGTCCTATGACATGTATTTAGGATCCATTGTTGCCTACAAATTACAAAGCAAGCCACTAGGCTGCAAAGTGCAAAAACACTGTTTCCATGATATGTTACAGCTGAAAGACTATAATGTTAATTCGTTTAAAGAACAGCCTAGGTCAACTTAACAAAATTTCTAGCAAAGCATACAATTCTGTTAACAGGAAATTATAGCATTATTGACTTCAAGTGCTGATCTGTGGTCATTTCAGAGTGTTTCATTACCCCCTCATTACCGAATCTGTTAAATGAATACTGCAGAGGTTGTTTTCTCTTTTTTTTTTTTTTTTCTCCTCCCCTGTGCCCTAATTCTTCTTTCCAGCAATGGTACAGCAGTTCCATAAAAGTCATTTGCCTGTGGTTGACTGATAGACTAGACCTCCAGCTCCATATTTACCAGCTGAAGACGCTCATCAAGATTGTGAAGGTAAACAAAATGTATTTAGATATGAATTACCGACCAAGCTATAAGGAATAATGGCAAGATACTGACATACAAGAAAGCTGTATTTGATGAAACTAAAAAGCATCGCTTATTAGCAATGATGTGCTCCTGTTTACTTCCATTTTTAGTTAGATTACTAAATAAACATAAATTTATCTTTTTTACACTAATAAATGTTTGCTAGCAAATAATCACAGTTCGAGATTATATACACAGTTACCTGAATGAAGTAGGTTCACCGTAATTTTATGTTTATTTTCTTAAGCATATAAATGTTTTCTTGCAATACATGTCCTTCATATTAGGATCATATATCATTGTGAGGACTTTTGAACTATATTTGCCGGAAGAATAATGAGAGTCTTTGTTATTTTATTATATGCTGGTACAAAAGTAATACATTGTCATTGCCCAAATTCTTCTGGAAGCATACCTCTTCTTATATGTGAAAGGTAATCAGTTGGAGTGTTGGAGACCATCCAAAACTACTGGCATCTATGTCACTTAAGTTCAGCAAGGCCATTTTGACTTTAGCTCTTCAGGAGAGAAGCTAATAACTTACATGCTATATTTACTGTGTAAGATCTTTAATATATTTTGCAAAATTTTTCACACTTTAAAAATTCTGGTGGAAGCACAAAATTTACCCCAAGTGTAACCTTTTCTTAAAATTGGGACATAAATTTCACCTTATGGCAGAAAACATAACTCTAAGCTATTGAGAATCACCTATTTAAACAGAAGGTCTTTACTTCCATTTTAGTACCATTTATTAGTAGTACATATGTGCATATGTACCCACACCCATAATGTGTATACATGCATCTATGTGTATGTGTGTGTATATATGAGTATACACAGTAGTTTGCAAAGTGTTATTCCTGACCTACGATTATCATCATCACCTGGGAACCTGTTAGACCCACAGATTCTTGGGTCACACCCAGATTTACTAAATCAAAAACTCTAAGGGTGGAACCCAGTAATCTATAGATTAACAAGTCCTCCAGATGGTTCTAATACATGAAAACATGCTAAAGTTGTCAATGACCCACTGTGTTACATCATTAAAAGATGTTTCTAGCAGCATTAATATATTTTTGTTATTCGCTTGGTTCCTACAGTCTAATTAGAATACAAATTCTTTATGCCTGCTTGTTAATCTTGTTAGGTCCACAAATAGGAAATTCTGTTCCAAAGTCAGAAATTGGCAAATCTACTGGAGCATAGAACCAGACCTAAAATGTCACAATAATAGCAGTTATGACTAGTCATAAAAAGTAAAATTATGGCCACTCACAAAATTTTAATAGTATAGCTACACATTACATATCAATGGAGAAAATAACTTTGATCCAGAGCACTTCTTATTTGGTGTTATTTATTTTACAAAAAATCTGAAAGGACAATATGATAGGTTTATAATTGGCTTAGTTCTCCGTTGTTTCTTGTTTCTATAAACATGACTTGAAGAGCTTTGACTTAAAGATTCTTTTCCGAAAAAGAGAATCAGAATAATATATTTGCCTTCTAAATATAAATATGTATGTGTGTGTGTGTATATATATATACACACACAGTTGCACTCTATATGGTGATTAATATTAGGATTACCTGTTTATACTTCTAATAAACCATATTTTCAAGCTAATGCCTACTGTGTTCAGGATATCAGAAGTTACATATTCAGGTACCTGGTGTTAGCTGATAGATTATTAAGCTCTTTGTTTTTAGAACAAAAATCTGCATATTAGCCCATAATTTGTTTCTTTAAAAGTTATTACTCATATTCACACATCTTTATAGTTAAAGATCAAGCAAGAGTGAAATTTTTCCATTTTATCGAGGTATAATTGAAAAGTAAAAATTTTTATATACTCAAGATATACAGTGTCACTTAGTAATGTATACTTGAAATTTGCTAATAGATAAGTATTCTCACCAGTCAATATTTTAGCATAAAAGAACAAAAATTTTATGAATTATATAGTGACATTTTTATTGTACTGTAAGCCAGTGAGTATATCTTCTTTTAATATATTTTTCCTAATGATAGTCAATAGTTGACCAATAAATATGAAATTAAATTTCATGAATATGTTTGATTTTTCCATGCTTTAGTTTTTACAGGCAAGTCTCCAGTCTCAGCCAATGTGTTCTTGGGCTGATACATTTAATCAAGTCATAGGGCTCTATTTAATAATTAAAAATTATTTTCACAATAAAAATCAAAGTGATTTAATAATTTAATGTTCTAATTTTTTTTCTGCTTTGAATATAAACAGACTTTAGGTAATTTCATACATAGATTCATTCTTCTTCAGAACTTAACATGGTTTTGCTCATAATGATCACTTCCCAATGAATTTAAGAAGCTATTGAATAACACATATAGAAGATTGTGAAGACCCATAACCAGACTTTCCTTCCATTCAGATGACCCAGACTTGGCCTGAGTGGTACAGCAGAGTAGTGTCTCCTACTCAGGATCCAAACGACTTGACTCTAGCAGTCTAGTCCTTACTACTCACAGGGATTGCCATTATTCTATGCCCATGAAGACCTAGATGCCATCCAAACTTACATATGCTTTTTTTTTTTTGGTCTTTTTGTTTTTTTCCTTTTTGTGGAGAACAGGGTCTTGATATATCACCCAGGCAGGTCTCGAACTCCTGGGCCCAAGCTATCCTCCCACCTCTGCCTCCCTAAGAGCTGTGATTACAGGTGTGAGCCACAGTGCCTAGCCCAAAACTTATATAATAGCCAACTTTACCCTAAGCAAAGATACTTATATACTAATTGATACATTCATGTTGCCCACTAAGAAAAAAACAAATCCCAGTAAGAGTTACACAAAAAATTAAAGACTGAAATTATTTGTTAAGTTTTCACATCAGAATGGTTTATTTAAGGAGAGGTAAAGTAACACTCTCAAATAATCAAAATGGTTGTTACATTTGTGTTCTCCATAATGACCACATGACATTAAATGCAGTTAACATGCAAGAAAAAGTGAACAAAACCCTGTGGCAGGCATTTGTCTTAAGTAAGGGCCAACCAAACCTTTGTGGAAACTACAGAGAATGTCCAAGTGTCAGTAACATTGTATGAATTCTAAATAGAGAGAAAGAGATTGCAAGGATGTCTCTCTAGTAGCTCACCCAACTGGTTATTGCTTACTAATTGAGTAAGAAAGTAGTTTTAATTATATATAAATTGGAAAGGCTTCAGAACCGCAGATCCACAATTCAAATCTGTTCCAGCCAACTTATTGGTAATTAAGCTAAGTCAAAGAAAAGTCATTCCAATAAAATAAAGTTGAACTCACAAACTCAGTATATAATTGTCAGTGGAACAATAATGCTTTCTATTAGATACATCATCTGTAGATGAATATGTTTGACAGTTTTGATCTAATTACAAAAGAGTTATAGAAATAAACACAAATCTCTGTGGTAATAATGCCGTGTATATCAGTTTCCAGATTATCTAGACAAAACACCTTTCAGAGTAATCTCACTGGTTCTGATGCAAATTACCATGAGTTTTGGTGTAAGAGAGCACCTTAGTCATAATAATTTATGACTTATAATGTTCTTATTATGACAAAATCATACCCCACAAAATGAAATATATTCATTTGCTGTTTCCCTATTGAACTAACTCTGAACTTTTTCTCCTACTTTAAAAATCAATAATAAAATACCAGTCACGTTTAGTTGCAGAAAATTATATGTGAAGAAAATCGCACTTTAAAAAGTGAGCATAGCTGGGTACAGTGGCTCATGCCTGTAATGCCAACATTTTGGGAGGCCGAGGTGGGCAGATCACCTGAGGTCATGAGCTTGAGATTAGTCTGGCCAACACGGTGAAACCCCATCTCTACTAAAAATACAAAACTTAGCTGGGCATGGTGGTACATGCCTATAATCCCAGGAACTCGGGAGGCTGAGGTGGAGAATCACTTGAACTGAGGAGGCTGCAGTGAGCCAAGATCGTGTCACTGCACTCCAGCCTGGGTGACACAGCAAGACTCCATTTCAAAAAAGAAAAAAATGAACATGGCCAGGCACAGTGGCTCAGGCCTGTAGTCCCAGCACTTTGGGAGGCTGAGATGTGAAGCTCACTGGAGGCCAGGGGTTCAAGAGCAGCCTAGGCTGCATGGCAAGACCTTGTCTCTACAAAGAAAATTTAAAAGTTAGCCAAGCATGGTGGCACATACCTGTGGTCCCAGCTACTCAGGAGGCTAAGGTGGCAGGATTGCTTCAGCCTGAGAGGTCAAAGCTGCAATAAGCAATGATCACACTACTGTTTCCCAGCCTGGGTAACAGAGTGAGACCCTATCTTAATCAATCAATCAATGTAAACATAAGGCAAACTTTATAGATTAATATTTTAAGTGCCACAGAAAAATGTTCTTGGGTTTTGTTGTTTTGAACATCATTATAGAAACAATAACATGGTATTCTATTTTTGATATATAATACACCAAATTTTAATGTATTGTTTTAAGAAAAAAAAAAAAAAGTAAATACTTGTTTTACTGTCCCGTCTATGGAAGCTTTATGCCAGAATTTGGTACTTCACATCCCAAGGGAATTTCAAAAGAAAAGGGCAAAATTCATACTGACATTTAGATGTACACTAATTTTTACCCAGTAGTACATGTAAATAAATTTTATAATTCACTGAAATACTGAAAATGTGAACTGCTTTTACCGATAATAGGATTAATCCTCTTCTTCCACACAACTGCCCCCTAAAGTTAATGTATTTTATAAAATAAAATGTATTTTTCAGTATTAAAGGAAAGCCCCCTCAATTAAAAAAATAAAACTAAGAATGTCTTTATATTAAAAACTTACATAGGTACTTATTTTATTTTTGCTATAGGTTATTCAAAAGGTAAATTGTGTGCAATTAGTAATGTTTTGAGGGGAAAGCAAATTCATCTGATAGTCACAACATTTTGATCTATTCATAGTAATTGTTGTTTGAATAGTAATAGCCAAAGTCTGCCATTCCATTTACTCCCCAGAAATACACCAAGAAGGTGATTGGCATGGGCAGCCACATGAACCTGTCAGTGGACTCCCAAGATAATTTTTGAAATGCTAACTGATTTTATGTCTGTCTACGTACATATAAACTAAGTTATCTAAGCAAATTTTATCTTCTTTCTTCAGAAAACCTACAGGGACTTCCGATTGCAGGGTGTGTTGGAAGGAACACTGAACAGTAAGACTTATGATACCGTGCACAGACGTTTAACAGTAGAGGAGGCCACAGCCTCTGTTTCAGAAGGAGGGGGACTTCAGGGCATTACTATGAAAGACAGTGATGAAGAAGAAGAAGGCTGATAACACACAGCTTTGCAGAAGGAAGGAAGACCTTGGTTGACATTATTTTTTATTTTTATTTTTTTAACCTTGTCCTTGTAATTACATTCATTGCTTGTTTAGGCCAAATAAAAATGCTTGTATTTCTTTAAAAAATAAAACCGAATGTAGAGTACAAGGGGAAATGCCAAGTTTTTTGTGTTTTGTTTTGTTTTGTTTTGTTTTTTGTTTTGTTTGGAGAAGAGCATCCTCTTTAGTGTAGCTTGACCTAAAAATGAACCTCGGCTCTGCTTATGATTGGAATATGAACTTTTTTAAAAAAGAAGATTTGAGCATTTTTCTGTAATCACATCAAAATGATGTTTTCTGTGTAAAATGAGATACATATTTCTCATAATGCAGCATTGTGATAAGTCACCTCCAATCACTGCACCAACTCTATCGTATCTTGTTAAAATGTTGTGTACCTTACAGAGTATAATTTATGTGCCAGGTTTGTTTTGTACTTAATTTGCCATTGTTGTGATGTATATAAAATCTTTAATCATGGTTCTTAGTACTTCGAATTGACCTACAGGTATATTCCTGGGCTGAAAGGATTGCCAAACCCAAAAATAGACTAGATTCTCCAGTGGGTTTGTGTCTTTGTTCCATTCTCAACATTTCTTCTTTCAACCATAAGTAATCCCCAGATGTGGGGTAGCAAGTGTGCCTCTGTCAAGATACCGTATTCTCCTACTCCCTAAGTATAACAGCTTGCAGGCAATAAAAATCTATTTGGTCATAACTACTTCTGTATTTATTAGAATTATATAGAGTAAATGCAGTAAAAGATGTTTGCAGTGTTTCAGACATCCCAACTATCTGACTCTGTGTTTTTGTTTCTTGTATTTTTGTAGTATTTTATTTTTAATCAAATGAGTAAAAAAATAATAACACTGTACTTTGTACCTAATAGGCACACACATTGTTAAAAGAATTACTATGACAGCTTATTTCCATAGCAGAGGAAATGTGTATTTCATACTCACATATTATTAGTTAATATTAGTAATCAATGTTAACTAATAATTAGTAATATTAGTAATGTTAACTAGTATTTGGCATTAGTAGTGGTTGTTCCCGCAAAATATTTTCTTGCTAGCATTTTGAGAGATAATTGTATTATGTTTTGTAAGTGCTCTATGAATTATTTTTGTAATATTTCCTAAAATATATTGGCAGATTGTGCTACTGCATGTATTAATAAGTAATTTTTAAATGAAGTCAGTTAATGCAAAATAAGTGGAGGTATCCCTGAATTTATGAAAATGTTTGTTCTGAAACTATAGAAATGAAGCAACGTGGACCTCCAGATTTGTTCTCCCATGGTGTAATAAGTGGTCACTAGGTACCTAGACTAGGCTTAAAAATCTGTTTAATCCACAGTTACTATTTAGCATTGTTTTGGCTCATTTTCTGGGCTCTAGGGGTAAGATAACAAGCACAAGGAAATTTTTTTCTTTTTCCTGGATTAGATACTCTACCAACTAATACTTCTGAAAGGCTGTTTGTCTGTGAATGTTCTCCCTCCTTTTCCTCTCTATCCACGCACTGAATACCCTTTTCTCCAAACCCTCAAATGTGCAGTCACACTATCCCAAACTCTCCAATGGCACCCTCCTCGAGCTTGCTGTTCCACCACAGATTGCTCTGTGCTTGGTAATTACCCACCCTTCTTTTTCTTTCAATAAAATTTCCATTTCCTTGATATAATTCATCTCCAAATAATGGATCTATTTTGTTTTGAAGTGTGACTGATGACCTCAACTGTATTAAAAGTCTTCCTCTTTAAAGGAAAGTGTATTTACTCTAAGAAATGATAGCTGATGGAATTCAGAAATGAACAGATGGTACAGGGGAAGGTATTTGGGGCCTGGAGGTTCTTACTGCTGACCTGGCCTGTTTAACCCACCCCTTGGCCCACTTGGCTGATCAGCCCCTTTGAGGATCTTTCCAGATTTTTATGTTATCTGCTCCTTCCCTTCTACACCCAGGAGATTTCTAAAAGCTCATCCCTACTCTTCACTCCCAGTAGCCTCCAAAGCAAAGGCAATTGCAGTCAGAGGCAGGTAGTGGAGCTACTGGTATCCTTATGAGAAACTCCAGGACCAACCTTTCAGCCATAAAAAGGTGTATGAGAAAAAATCATAAAGTATCTGAAAAAGAATGAAAAGTGGTTTTTAAGTTTTTGCCCCAAACTAACTGCACATTGCAACTAATTGCAAAGTGCTTTAAATTACTTAATTGTTCATTGGTGTGTATAACTATTAGGATGAACACCCAAGCATCTGTCTATTAAAGGATGTCTTATGTGGTGTTACTCTTCTCAAAGTATTATTTTTTAAGAAAATGAATTTAGTCAAAAGCCTAACAGCTCTTGCAAAATTTTCTAAGTGAAACTTAATTTTAACTAAAAAGAAATAGCGATACCAGTCTAAATGATTTGGGAAAGGGACAAAGAGGTACATTCTCTGGACAGTGTGCTTAGCGTTACAGGAGATAGTAACTACCACCGTCTAACATCCAACCGGAATCGGTTTGTTAAATTATGTCTAGAAGGAAAATTTCCTCAAACACTTGGGAGAAAAAATAATAATGCCTATTCCCGGAAAAGGAAAGAACCATGCAGAGCTTAATGTAAACCTCTGGGCTCCATCAGTGGGTCGTTCTTGAATTTACTGATTTTTCCACTTGAATTCCCTTTAGTCCTTGCTCATTGTCCCTTTCTTAGAAGGGAGTTCCCGCTTTTGCAGTAAACGCCGGTGCAAAGCGTCTACGTGTTGCCATCCCGCCACCCAGGGTCACAGCCTGGCCTGGCCTGGCCTTGCGCCGCCCTTCGCCCACAGCCACCGGCAGTGAGAGGGTCCACTCTCTCCTTGAAGCTGCGCTTGAGTGGGAAATAAGTTCACTCAGCCGCGCTCGGAGATCCCCGAAGCCCCTTTGCGCTGCCGCGGTCTGCCTCCAGAGAGGGGCTGGGTACAGTGAGCGTGGGGACGGAGCGCGCGGCGAGTTCACAGGACCCCCCCGGGCCCCCGAGCAGGGACCTGGCCTTCTGATCTCCGCCAGCCTGCGTGGAAGGACCCGTGGGGGCAGATTAGCGCAAGAGCTTGGTCGGTTTTATTTCTTATTGCCAAAACAGAAAATGTAAATTTCCGGGTCCGGGTCCTTAAAGGGAGGTGATGATCGATGTTCCGGAGAGATGATCACGCGCTGCGGGGCATCTGCGCACCGGGGTAGCAGCCCAGCCGGGCAGCTTTCGCTCTGCGCCTCTGGGCTCTCAGCAACTCCAAGCCCCCGCCACGGCCCCGCGCCATCCACCCCACTTTTGTGCAGAAGTTGGAGGCCTGGCCTATGGGATTTCCTGGTGGTCGGTGCTCATCCAGTCTTTACATAGAGTTCCCCCCACGACCCACACTGCTACCCTGTGCCCTTACTATGCAGAGAAACGAAATGGCTAATGCGGCTCCTTTTCCCTTCAAGTCCTGCTCGAAGTAACCTTGGAGGAAGACCCGAGACCCATCCTCCCCCCGCCTCCCCCGCCCACCCCCGACTTTGCTGCAGATGGAGTCGTGTCCACAGGCCTGGGCAGCCGGCAGTCGTGGAAGGGATTGAGAGCAGCGAAGCACGCGAGGCGCGTGGCTGAACAAGTGCCCCAGCAGGAGCTCAGGGCGAGCCTTTCTCTGGGTTACCCCAGCTTCGGACTGAAGATGAGAGGCAGGGCTGCCTTAAGCTGTCCTCCTTTGTGACATTGAGTAAGATATTAAGAGAGTAGAGGCGGGAGCAAAGCTCTGAACCTGGGTTCTCTGGTTGACCAGAGAGTCAACCGCTCATTTGCTTTCAGGGAGTAGTCACTGGAGTGCGAGCATGTGCCACAGAGAAATGAGGGGTTAAGGGAAGAATTTAATCTGTTTCCTAAGTGAAGAAGACCTCCGATTTTACTACCCAGATTTGGATGTACCTGACAGCAGCTTGGACAACCGCAGAGCCCCGAGCCTGCAGTCAGAAAAATCTGAGTGTAGATACTAACAGCTACATCTCTTCCCCAAATCTGAGCCCTGTGGACTTTGACAAGTTACTTAACCTCTCTGTAAAATGAGCACTTCATAAGGAAGGTTGCTGGAAGGATTAGAGACATAAGTAGTGGCCATTATTAACTATTTCTTTCATTTTTTATTTTTATTTTTATTTTTATTTATTTATTTATTTAGAGACAGAGTCTCGCTCTATCGCCCAGGCCGGATTGCAGTGGCGCGATCTCGGCTCACTGCAACCTCCGCCTCCCGGGTTCAAGCGAGTCTCCTGCCTCAGTCTCTCTAGCAGCTGGGATTATAGGCATGTGCTATCGTGCCCAGCTAATTTTTGTATTTTCAGTAGAAACAGGGTTTCATCATGTCGATCAGGATGATCTATATCTCTTGATCTCTTGATCCTCCCGCCTCGGTCTCCCAAAGTGCTGGGATTACAGGCGTGAGCCACCGCGACCGGCCAACTATTTCAACTACTTTTTCTGTATGAATGGATTCGAAAGATCGTGGGAGGCTTGCCTCTGCCAACATGCACCACGAATCTCACCAGCCATTCCCTCTGGGGTTGGCACAGGGTCCTTTTGGATCACACGCAGCTCTGAGGATCTTCAGCCTAGCCCCTGAACTGTCTGTGAACTGGCTAGAATTGTCCCGTTCTCTGGTTATATATGTGGCCAGCCCAATGGGAGGAGGAGACAGGGAGGAGCAAGCCAACTCTGGTCTCAGAAAGGGCCAGCATCGCTAACAGCAGCCCCTGGAGCTGCGGGCTGGGAAAGGAGGTAGCTGGAGATGTGTTACTGAGTCCACTTGGAGATGATATTGGTCAGGGGCTCTGAAATGGGACGGGGATGATCCAGGAGGTGCCAGTCTGCAAGCCGGGAATCTCAGGCCTCGGCTGCTGTAGCCAGTAGGTTGAGTTCAAGGGAATTTCAGATGCAAATGGTGTTCATTAGTATTTTCCAAGGCTTAAGAGAAACCTAGAACGATGTCCTGCGTCCCAAATCAGGAATGCAACAGAAGGATGCGCTTGCAAACTGCAAGCGGAACCGAGAGAGAAAGGCAGAGCGGGCCACACGCTTCAAGGTGGCCCCAGCTACTGCAACGAAGCAAAAAGAGAGTGCAGGCGCTTAGGGCGACAGCCAGCACCGAGCCCTGCCTGGAATTGCTGGACTGCAAAACTAGGCTCCCAGGAAAACTTGAGCAACGCGGTGGCACAGGGTGGGGCAAGGGCGCGCCCCCGGATCACAACCCAACACCTCAATGGCACGGGAGACGCGCGCCCCGGCGGCCCCGGGGTCCAGCTCGCTGTGGCCTTGGGGAGGTAGGAACTGAGCACTCGGGAAGGGGGAAGAGACGGTGCTCGGCATTAAGCTGGGACTGGAGCCGCTTTTTTAACCGACTGGTGGTCTCCATCCTAGTCATTTCTTTAGAGTAGCCGGCGGCAGCTTCTGAATCCTAGACCCAGTGACTCAATATGATGACGTCTTTTCTCTCCCTGTACTTAGCAATTTTACAGTGAAGATGGTTATATTTGTGTGCCTTTTTTAAAAAAAAAATAATAATAATAACCCTATTCTAGACTTGTCCCCAATCTCTGTCTACCTTGACTCTCCCTAGGATCAATGATTCTCACATCAAGAGGAAGTGAAGAGTTGATTTCAAGAACCATCAGACAAGGCAGTTACTCTTCCTATAACCCTGGCCTAGGGTTGTTATAGAGCCCCTACTCATAGATGACATCAATATTTTTCCCTGTGCAAAAATTTGAAGTGGACGCCAAATTCTTTTCTACTCTAAATCCCTGCTTTCCCCTTTAGCACTACCTCTCTCTTCTCTCCCTACAAATAACATCTCCTTTGGGTCTCCTTTAAAAGAAAGGAGATCTGATTAAATGCTGAAGAAATGCTAAAGTTTATACTGTAGGGCATTTCCTTAATATGCCAAGGAAGCAAAACCAATTGTAATGGAAGGAGATTTTGGTAGGGAGGTAGATGTTTCAGTAAAAAAAATTACATAGTAAAAGGTCAGAACCTAACAAGACTAAACCTCAAAAAGTAGAAAGTGAAACATGAAAAGGCCAACTGAGCCAGTAGATTGTGGGAGAGTAGGGCTTTCGATAGGTCCTGCCTGCTGGATGATTTTAATAATTTTTAAAAACAACTTCAAAGTTGCTATATTGAAGAAGCTTATTCATTGTCATTTATTCGAACTCGTTTCTTTCACTACTTCATGTGATTACTAGGTGTGTTCTTCCCTAAAATTAGAATGGTCTATGGAAAGTTGAATTATTTTACAAACACATAACCACTTCTTAAGAAATGAAATCTGCTTTAATCAAACTGGGATTTTTTTTTTTTTTTTTTTTTGACAAGCTTTTGTCAAGGTTAATTCCTGAATCTACAGAATAAAGTGCTCCCCGGGCACACAGTACTGAAGGTGGGATAGCAGACGTCTAAGGACAAGAAAAGTACTTGATGTTGTGAAAAATACATAGCAAATATTCCTGTGTCTACTGTAACATTTTCACGTAATTAACCTGAAGTCTATCATTAAGCAGAGGAACTGTTTTTAAATACAGTTGTCTGAATAATATTTTTAAAAATTTTTACAGCTAACTTTTTAATAAGGTGATAACTTTTCATAGGTAAAGTGATTTTATTTTAAAATCTCTTTTCAATGCCAA